AAGTGCATGATCGGTGTCAACACCTGTGCTCCAAATCGAGCGACAATTCTGGATGCAGCCTCTCCAGCGGTAACTGATAACAATGTGATCGATCTACGTCCAAGGCTGGTTCGATGCTGGTGGGCGCCAAGTCATCCTCCGACGGGTGCTGTGTCCGAAATTAGTGCTCGCAAGAAATATGCGAGCATCCTCACACAAATGTAGTAACCGCTCACCGTTATCATTACGGGAGCCTACACCATGTTGGCCGCCCAAATGCAGTTCATCAGTGGATAATTTTCCAACTTGAGCATTCAGATCCCCGGCCAGCACAACAGTGTCCGAGCTTCTTCTGTGGCTAAGGAGCTCGTTCACTTGACGATAGAAGTCGTCTTTTACCGAGTCATTGCTACAGTTTGTCGGTGCATAGGCAGCGATAACGAATAGACACCGGTTAGTCCCGCGCGATTTCGAAGCTTTAAACGAGCCAACCAATCGGACCGCACACATCCGGCTACTGACTTGGATCCAATCAACCAGAGCAGTTTCAGCCCCGGGGACTCAGGGCAATACCAACACCGGCTTGTCCGGTGCTCGAAGCTGCATCGTTACAGGATAGGCGCAATGAGAAAGTGTTGCTAGTGTCAGCTGAAGGGGATCGCAGAGTGAGCACAGAGCTCGAGTCTTGCAGGCGGGTCTCCGATAAGCAGCAGATATCGACTGAGTGGGTCTCTAATGTTCGGGCAAGTGCTGCCTGTTGACCGATCTGAAGCAATGTGCGAACATTGAGGCATGCCAATCTTGAGGAGGATCGAGGGCTCCAAATGGAAGCCGATGAACTGGAATGGACCGCTTGGTTGGACATGGGCTTGTCGACAGGAGAGGAGTGACGCTCTGCGTTCACATGTAAGTTGAAACTAGAAGATAAATGCCTAGCAAAGCACGTTGGGGGTGGGCCAAGATTCGGGGGTTGAACACTTGGGGATGAAAGTGACGTTGGAACGGGACGATAAGGGTGAAAAAGCGTAAGAGAGGGTATAAGAAGACGGGAAGGCTTGAGCAGTAGCATCCAAACCCTTATCCACCCTGCTCGATGCAGCAGATAGAGCACCGTTGATTATCCTCTGCGGTGACCAGAGCATCAAGAGATTGTGAGAAGGAAAAGTCATGGTGATTTGCGTGGGCAGGATACTGTCAGGTTGCCCAGGCCTATACAGGAGAATGATTAGGTTCTCAACCAAAGTCTTTGGTTCATAATCCTTACCGCAAGGCAGTGGGTTTTGCGTTGGGCTACAAGGAGCCCATTTTAAGGAATAAGTTGCCACCCTCATTCCAAACCTACCTTGAGGACAGGAGGGCTGAGTTTGTCTGGCCTCTACCTATTGATGAATATAGTGTCAGCGGCACTGAAGGTGCAAAATGCACCACTCAGTATAGCTCAATGGATCACTGAGGCACACAAACCATCGCACCGCGGTAAGGTCCAGTCTCATTGCGATGGTGACGCTTACTTAACACGAAGCTCATAGTCTGACCGCACACAGAAGACTGTCAACTGGGATCCAGTCAAGCAAAGCGGTCGCAACCCTGTCACTTAGCGCAACCCCAACGTCAGCCTGGTCAGAAGCGACAACCTCTGGGTCCCCGAAAAAGGGCAAGAGTTTGACTCTTGCTTGAATAAGGTGCAACCAGTGAGCTGCTGTTGGCGGTGATCAGGAAGGACATAAGCGGAGTTTAGGAGCTGGATATGTGTCGATCCGTGAGTGAAAGTTGAGCATTGGAGACAGAAGAACCAATAGACGTAGCAAGAGCGAAAGTAGTAGCAGAAGATTCCATCCATGGTGCGTCAGTTGTCATGGTACTACCCTGTTGCCCAGGCTGAAGTGAATGGTTGTATTACGGAGCCCTACTCCGAGTCTTTGATCAGGATCTAACCTACAAGGTTGCAGGGCGATATGAGCGCGTCGCACCTGTTGGGAGCCGATGAGTAAACAAGTGCTTTATACCTCTTTAAGTCTTCCAAAAGACCAGAGGCTCAAAACACACTACTGAATTACAATGCCACTCCGAGAGAAGCAAGGGTCAGTGACTTCATTTACTGACGTCACATCCGCCACGTCAGGTTTTTTTAAACTGAACTGTGTGGCATTTTATAGGGAGAATGCTTGCCAGGCGAAAACCCATTACTTCCTGAAACACTGCCGCCAAACCATTTGTTGGAACGGGATAATCGCGAACCACTCAGGTGGCACCACGAAGAGGTTGTTCGGCAAGCCAGCCAGTGTGGCAATTGCCTAAGGAGGTAGGCATCATTCTCATCCAAAATGAAAACATGGATTTCTGCACAGCATGCCATGAGTATGCGATGGAATTCAGTTGCACCATTTAAAGTGACTGATTCCACTGCTTTCCATGGAGGAAGGGAGACATACAATATAGCGAATTCCTTATATAAAGTTCCGGGAACATTGTGGGTGGATTCTGGTGCTAGTGCTTTTCATAATCCGGACCAACTGTCGTGTTTTGGGTTCTGCTTTGAAGGTACAGTATCGAATTGGTTGGCTCTTTTTCTCCGTGGGTCGAAGAATACTGGATTTGCCCTCCAGCATACTTGGTCACTGATCCTGCGTCTGTCTCTATCCATCTTCGCAAACTAATATTTCTTAAGTGGGAACCACCGCATGCCCATTTATGGTACGAGGAATGTTATGCCACAGTGTTCTTACTGATCTCGAAAGGACGGAACGTCGTTGCGGTGCTTTTGTGTTGTCAGTGACTCTGTACTTGGGTTCGGAGATGGATTTTCTGACGATACAGTTAAGCAGTTTATCAGTTACATCCCACTGGGTGGGGTGTCAGTGGCTTTGGGACTGCCTTTCAACGAAGTTATATCCAATTATGGTGAGCTGCTATTACTTGGAGTACGCGGACGATATTGTCCTAATCCGTGACAGCTCCCAAACATGCCAAACAGCACTGGACCGATTAGCACTGGCTATGCTTTGCTCCATCAAATTGTAAAGTATTTATCCAAGATTGGCAGAGATCCACTCCTGCGCTAACGCTTTGTGGTGATCAGCTAGAAGTCGTTCAGGAATTCAAGTACCTGGGCAGCTATATTAGCACCCGTGGGATCGAAGATGAGGTTACGAACCGTATAGCTAAAGCTCGAGATGCTTTTGACAATCTCCGCCACCTGTGGCGCAGACGCGACATCACTCTCGCCCTGAAGGGCAGAGTTTATAACGCAGCCGTCCGTTCAACCCTCCTGTACGGTTGTGAAACCTGGCGCATCAGGTCGACAGACATAAAGAGGCTAGTCACATTCGATCATCGCTGCCTTCGCAGCTTGGCTCATGTTTGGTGGGAGCACCACGTGAGCAATGAGCATGTTCAACATCGCGTATTTGGTGTAGGAAGAGCGGGTGAACCGCTCAGCACCATTATATCACGCACCAGTCTCCGATGGCTGGGCCACCTGTTGCGCATGCCAGTACACCGACTTCCGCGAAGTGCATTGTTTGCGCGTTATGGGTGCGGTTGGAAGAGGAGGAGGGGAGGCCAAGCAATGACTTGGGCGAGAGAGATGCGTCGGTTGGTGCATCCAAACTGCCTGGCTGGGGTCCTAAGGACGGTGAACACGTTTGGTTGGACACACTTGTGTATATGACAAAGAGCCGGACCCAGTGAAGTTTGTGTTGTGAGTTCCTTTGTCCATCCCCCTCCTGCTTAGCCTCCCCTTCCTATCACGATCGCATTCATTAGGCATAACATAACTTTTGCGGCACGATAGCCGGCTATTAGCTCTCCGGAACGATGTCCATCCATTACTGGGGACTCAGCGGGCGTGCCACTGTTTTTTCTTCTTGTGCTTTGCATTGCGGCACAATAGCTGAGGTGTTCTACCTGCAGCTACCGTGTATAATGATGATGATGATGATGATTTTTGAGATCAACATGCCTGTCAACATACCATTGATATAACGGTATCATGGCACTACAATCTGTCTCTGACACTGATCACTTTTCACTGTTCCCTTCAAACTGCTCAGTTTAAGGGGTAATTCATAGACCACCCGAGGTTTCTAATTGTTAAACACACCACATCGACGGCTTTCCTTAGCCCGGAGGTTGTCCACATAGTACCTGGTTTCTCTTCTTTATAGTACGCTTGTATTAAAACTGGCGCCATGAACCTCCCCATAGTCGTGATACGCACGTAGACGTGCGTGCTCGCAATCGACAACAACCATCTCATAATCACCCTTTTGAACGCAATTACTCTACTGCTTTGCCCATGCATATTTTATTTGGTCCACTCATTTAATATTTCAATTTCAATTTCTGCTGACACCAACCTACGGGACATGTTATGCCTGTGCTTTTTACCCTTTTTAAACCAGTGTTCCATTGTTCCATTAATCTAATCAGCGCTAAATATGTTAGCACCAGTTGGAGAACAACTGGCAGTATGCCGGCCGGTGGCCGGGTGGTCTGCGTGCCTGGTTTGCAATCATAAGGTCACCGGTTCGAATCCGCGTAGGGTTGGGCGTCCTCGCGATATACTCAGCCCGTGCGAGACTGGTGGTGGTCGCGCGGCAGCGGAGCGCCGTTACGGCGTACAGCTGACACTTTATTGTATTATTTTTTCTCATATAAGAGGAAAATCCGCTAAGCTGTAAGCAACAGACTTCAGTCGCACACTAATGCTATTTAGTACGAGTTCTTGTTTTGTCCTAGGGGGTTCCCAAACACGCGGGTTCGGCAACCGTACCCCTCCCAGTTTTGGAGTCCCTTGGGCCTCAATAATGCCAACTTTGAGGTTATCACCTTCGTATTTAAGGTCAGAGTCTCACAGTGCTTACCATGCTTTCATTATAGAGCCGATGTTATCGTCTCCATGCTCCAATAATCACATGCATTAGATATGCACTCGATCCATCCCGACCACTGCACCTCAGTTTCCTTGTTTTCTAATTTCGCTTTTTCGTTCTCTAAACCCTACCCTATAATACTCTTAGACACACAAATAATGAACCTGTTCATATGGAACGCTCTCGATTACAATGGTACGATTCCAACACACGTCGAGCGCTGGTCCCGCCCCCTGCACCAACTCGAGGTCAGCCCTGTGGTCGACTAACAGATGCCGAACTGTCAAAGCTGCCGCTCAGTGTGTACCGTATTCGACCCAAGGGGCAACAGGACTCCGACGGAGGGGCTAAAGGACGCTCTGCTTTTCAGCCTACGATTGAATCTTCACCCATTCCAGTAGCTCATGGGAACAACAGCAGTTTGATCTGTTCCCCCGGATCAGCCTATCTTCAACCTGTTTCGAGGACCCAGGGGTTGGTGGAAATTCAACCAATTTTGTCCTCACCCGCAAGAGGCCAACCGGAATGCGAAGTTTGCTTGAGTAAGTGAAAATGGACATGCAGGTGACAATTCACTAGGCTGGTGGCATCCACTGACTATGGTGCCTCCATTGAGCATGAGTCATCGCTTTGTACCACTTTTTCACCCTATGTTCGTTCTGCCTATCCTTGTCCATAACCAGTCACCTGTCAACTTACCACCATGGAACGTTGATGGTGTCATGCACAAAGCTACGATACCACATAGATTATCAAGTCTCGAAGATCACACCGGTCAGCGGATTTGTTTACTGCTGTTTCCGTACCCATCACTCTGATTTACCACGGGATGACGGACTAAAGTCATTTGTTACCTCTATATTCGATTGCCAGTAAATCTATTATGGTCCTCCGCCCCCACTCCTTCCACTATACAATAGCGGAGTATCGCGAAAAGGATCAACTACGACATCTACCCTGCGGACATGCGTTCCATTCGAAATGCATTGACGCCTGGTTTATGCAATCAAGTACCTGTCCAAAGTGCCGCGCAGGTGTGCGTACAGGTCTGAAACGACTCGAACGGAACTGTCAGCGTACGCAATCGGTCAACAGAAGCACCGGGGGTGCACCTGTGAGGGCCATTCGGCAACGCTCAACCACAGTGGTACGAGCCCCAAGTGGAAAAGTGAGTGGTCCGTCTCCTTTACTGTCCGATCTGTACAGTAGAACAACCGTTTTATACGAGTAAAAAGCTTAAGCTTACCAAGTCCTGAATGATGATCATAATGAAATTCGATGTAGGAAAAAGTTTTCAGTCAATCTTGGTTTACACCGGTGGACACACAGCGGTATTCGTAGTATATATAGTAACTCCTCCGTAAGTCAAGTTATGTTCGTTAACGCACATGTGCATCCGTTTACGCCGATTTCATGGGAGCTGGAGAGCAAAGTGTTTGTCTGCGTTATGTTGTCACTATATGAATAGAAATCAAATCAGGTGATGCAGACGTTGTAATGTTTCGTCGAGTCGGCGTGGGCGCCGAAATGACAAAGTCGAAACGGCTTTCCAGGGGGGAGAATTAGAAGAGAAAAGTAGTTCCAGTGGCATTCCAACCAACTGTATGTTGTAGCCAGTTTCAACTGGTGATCCTACAATTTCGTGCTGCAGCTAAGTTTTAGGAGGTGGCGGCAAGCGTGGCCGGGGTTTTTTAAAATCTGATGCACGAGAATGAAGTTGCTCTGTAGACGGCGATAACTTCCGCTCTACAGTCCTAGAGTTTGCAGTTGCAGATGGTATGGCAGGTGGAGCAAACCCTTCACGTTTTTGGTTACCCTTCACTGTGCGGTATCTAGTGTAACCAGATCGCGTTTTAACCATGGTTGTCAGGCCTGAATCCCGTACTCTACATGGGGCTTCACATACGCATTGAGCATTTGGGGGAAGATGGAGGGGTCGAACAGCCAGAACGCCCTCCGTAAGAGACCAACTTGTTGGTTTTTGGTTTTGGACGCCTTCAAAGACTGCGCCGAACAGCCGATGTTGTCTTGCATCACCACCCCAAGGTTGCGCTCCTGTAAGACGGTGTTCAGCACTTGGTCTCCAAACTTATAAGTGTAAGTGGTCTCGTGGAGTACATGTACAGTCTTGCATTAAACAGTAGAAGATTGCCTTTGACCATTCAGAGGCGCGGTCTAAGTCTCTTTGTAGCACGTCGTGATTGTCCTGACAACCGGTCGCCCGCTATATCTCGATCTCGTCGTCAAAAAGTAAGAAATTCGACTCGATGACACGCGCGAGGTAGTTGATGAAGACCAGGAATAGGCGAAGCCCTAACAACGATCCCTGTGGGACACCGCTGTCCACGTCGATAGGAACAGAAAACGAACCCCTTAATCCGAACCTGAAGCGGCCGCTGTAGGAGGCAATTTCTGGTCCATCCAGGGACCGAGTTTCCAATTCCATACTTATGCAGCTTTTGGAGAAGTATTCGCTGATCTAAACGGTCGAACTCGTTAGAAAAGTCGTGGCAGGTAACATCATTGCCGGTCCCGCTGTCGACTACTTCGGTCCAGCTGCCACGCGCAATCAGAAGATTGGTAGTACATGATCAATTCTGACGGAATCCGTGTTATCATAATGCTAGGATGTTAGACACTTCAAAGTAGCCCATTAGAGCCTCAGCTATGATTGACTCCATCAGCTTTGAGAGCACCGGGAGGAGAGTCACAGGGTGATAGTTGACGGGCTCTGAATGGTCATCACCCTTGATAATTAGGGTGATAATACCCTGCTTCCCCAGGTTGGGACCTAATGTTCTTCCAAACACCTTTGGAACAATCGAGCTAAGGAGTCAGCTAGCCCTTAACTGCCACCTGCAGTGCCTTCGGTGGAATGTTGTCAAGACTGTGGGAACCATGGGTGCGCAAAGATGGCAGCATGCTCAATTTGGTCTCAGAACTAAAAGTGACGCCTGTGCATATTGGCGTCTTGGTGAAGGGGAGACGTATGCTACCTATGCTGGTGAAGTCCATTGCAGCCGTAGAAATTTAGTTGTTTCCTCGGCAGCTTGAGCACATCCATTTACAGAGGTAACTGGGGGAACACCATGCTTCACATTTAGGAGGCTATTCACGTATCTCTACAGATGCTTGTTGTTTGCACAAAACCTTTCTGCTAGGCTCTGTTTATGCATTAATTCACCCTCACGCACAAGTGTGGTACAGTGATTACGATGCACTACATAGTATCTCCAATTGTCAAGGTTAGGGTTCGCACTGTACACATGACACGCAGGGTCTCTTAAGGCCATGCGTTTTCTGCTTCTGTTCCTAATGATTTATGGGGGTCTTGTAGAACGAATGAGCCTGTTTACAGATGCGGATTTCATCAGATCGCTGAACTTGTCAGCAAACTCCGTCCATGCAGCACTAATGCAACAATTGTCCGAAAAATCTCAAATGGCTTCCTCAACAAGTTCCGTGAGTGGGTCGTAATGTGTGATCATTGGAAACAAGTCACCATGATTTTGTGGATATTCCGCATGACACGCATAGTCACAAACCATTGGTACCTGATCATTCCGCCCCAGAAGGCTCCCCATCTTTGATTTCTCCATCATGAACACTTCATTCGTGAGCACTAAATCAAGCACAGCTGGTTTATTTTCCGCTCTGAATCGGGTGGGTGAACTGACATGGCTAAAGAGCGGAATGCTTACAATAAACCCTTGCGGGTCTGCTTTGAATTGTTCGTTTGGAGAAGCCGGAACTTCCAAATCGTGAGCATTGAATTCGCCGAAGAACATGACTGTATCATCGTCGAAGTACTTTACCAATACTAAAGGCAAGCAAAAGTCCATCTCTGAGATGGAAATTGGGGGACGATAACCAACTGACCAAAGGCAAGTGTCGTTGCGCCTTAGTCGCAGAGCGATTCTCTGAGCAACGTTTCCGGATGGTCCATCGGTTCGCCCTTACAGGTACGATCGTTTCGAATAAGGAACATGCTATGTGTGGCGACTTCGGCGTCGTTAATTTCAGAATGCAGCCAAGTTTCAGTTGGGATTATGAGGTCCCAGGCGCATGTTGCTTGGCGTAGCCGCAGTTCGGCAAGCTTGTTCAGGGGACCTTATGCACTGATGTACATAAGGGGAAAGTTTCTTTGTTGTTAGCAATGAGTCGTGGGATGTGCGTTTTTGGCATGATGTTGTGCCGACCGGGGAGAGATCGGCAACCAGTCGCTTTAGAGGTAGGGCGATGATGAACTTATCTGTGTCAGCTCCAGTGATCCCGCAATTGCATCTATGCTCCTCTGTTTAGTTGTAGTGTATGGGTGTGTTTAAAAGTTTCATTGCTTAGTTGCGTGAAGTTATCCGAACTGTGTCTGGAGGTTGTCTGACTGAGTGGCTGCATTCGTATGTTTGCTTAGGGGACGCTGCTTTGATGCGGAGTTCGAAGGGAAAGCTACTACGGACAGCATACCAGCTCTCTAACATCCTAGTTGATATTTTCTGGATTGAAGTACCACTTCACAATCCTCGGGCCACATCCTTTGTAATTTGGTGTCCTGTGTAGCCTTGAGCTCGATTGCTTTATGACTTTTTCCAGGGACAGAGTCTCTCGTAAGTAACGCCACTGCTCTTGGTTGTTTGTGGTCTCTTCTCGTTCATCCTGACCTCCAGTCTCGGGAACAACCTGTACAAGGATTGTCTCAACAGCGTAGGGGTGAGCGTCCTTGAGGTATACTTAGTCCGCGTGCCACTGGTTGTGGTTGCACGGCAACGAAGCGCCGTTACGGCGTACAGCTGGCACATTATTATTTCGTATTATTTTCAGTATTCTTCCAACTCAAGCTTCCCCTGTTTGAGCTTGCTCCGCAGAATATCCGGGAAGATGCGGATGGAACATAACCCATGCCGAAGGTGCACTGTCGCTAAGAGGATGGCTTCTGCTTCACCGGTGAAAGTCAGTAAAACACAGAGAATTCTTGGTTCCCCGTGGTGCCGTGAGTTCGCTTGACGGGTGATCTGTGTCAATTTGGCGAACCTAACTACAACACCTAGGATGTCACATATGAAGTTCTACTGGTTCACAACAACGAATTGTTTTCCCTTTAAGGAACTTGTCGTCGACTCTAGAACGTTGGAGCAGATTACCGATGATACACTCTGTGTAGCTCGGATTGATATCAGCCGCGCCGCTGGTCTGCATACAACCGGTGGGGGCTGTGGAAGTACAGCTTTGCCTTCTTCATTTACTTTAAACCCAGTGGGGGTAAATGAAGACCTAAGTTTCCGGTCGGTTTTGGCAGTAATCATGTTCTAACCATCAACAATGTCCTTCTGAAATTGTGGAAAATTTTGAAGGGTGCTTGTGGCCTTGACCGTACTTATTTTAATCGGACTGACTGTCTTTGTTTTAGGTGTATTTAGGGAGCCATTAGCGTTGACTTGTAAAACCATAGCGGACGCATTTTTATTGCCCTGCCCAGCATTCTTTTGCTGTCTTGAAGCGGAGCCTACTGGTAAGGGCGCCGGTTTGCCCGGTGTCAAACTTTTCTCAAATGAATCAACTTTGGTATTCCGCATTTATTTAATCATTGCCACCAGCCTTTCGTGTTTCTGCGCTCGTTCATGCACAATATTTACCAATTTCATAACCATACATACTTCATAGAACCATCAAGACTCTGGTTAACAATTAGGTATCTTCAACTGGTTTACTGTGAGTTCGGAAGGTTTAGGGTGAAACTTGCGGCAATTTGAACACTGGATTTCGGTTCGTACATTTTTATGACAGGAAGTAAGGCCATATATTATTGGCAGTCTTAGTGTGGAATAAGAGCCAAATGTTAATTGGTCTTTAACAACCATGGGTTCAATTGATGACTTTCCGATCAATGGTGTGGTTGACTATCTGTCGCTGTAGTTAAGGTCAACGCGTTTGGTGCTTCCAGGACTAGCAAACTAGGATTAAGCAGATGGATGGTTTGTTCGTCAGACTCTATGAGATTTAAATAAAGCGAATAAGCGGTGGGGAGACAAGATAGTGCATGGCTAATTCGCTTATCGGTCGACAGCTCTGGTTGTTGGCTCGTCGTATAGATCTCTGAATTGGCTTTCGGTTGAGACCACAAATATTGCTGTGTGATCCGAAGTTCGGAAAATTCCTCGATTGCGGTTTCGCGAGAACAGTGCAAAAACCGTGATACTGAACTTACAGTTGATCTACACAAGTTAGTTCGGAGAG